TGGGCCACCCTAATTGCTTTGCATATTGTAAAACACCAAAGCATAATCCCCAATGAAGGGGACTGTTGGAATTCTACCAGGGGGAGCTTCCATCCACAATGGCAGAGGGACTGTCTGTAGGGGCAGTAAAAAGGTCAATGGGCAAGACAGCCAACAAATCCAACAAAGCCATCTGATCCAGGCCAGAGTATAGGCTTCTTCATGTGTGCATCTTGACACACAATAAACATTTGAAATTATAGATAAATAGGTACCACTTCAGTGGGAACAGGCCATTGGATACTTACCATGAAGGGCCCTTCTCCTCTGAGATGAAGTGTCAACCTTCGTTAAGCATTACAGAAGCAACCTCTTTGACTTCGCTGACGCACCCTTCGGCCAGAGAGTTCTCCAACAGATCCTAGCAGATTAGACTATGACCCACCCGAAATTGGACACTGCTCTAGGAGGTCCCAGCAAGATGTCCTCCTCTCAGGGGAGAACGGGCCATTGGATACTTACCGTGAAGGGCTCTTCTCCTCTGAGATGGAGGAGGACATCTTGGGCCCACCCGTTTCATCGTCCTCTATATCTGCTCCTTTTTGCCTGTCTATTACCTTTATACTGTGCTGCATTCAGTTCTTCCTGTTTTCTAATTCTTTCTCTCGTTACAGAGGTTATGACGTTAATTGTTTTACAGTTATAGAACAAGTTACTGCTTTTCGGAGTTTCTAACTGAGTTAGAGGGCGTGTCCCACCAAGAGGACAGGAAGTGAAGTTTTTGTTCCTGCCTCCCTGAGGATGGGGTGGGAAACACCCAGCAAGATGTCCTCCTCTCAGGGGAGAAGGTAACAGCGTTCCATGCGCGTTGGTGTTTAGTCATGCCGGCCACATGACCATGGAAATGTCTTCGGACAGCGTTGGCTCTTCGGCTTTGAAACGGAGATGAGCACCGTAACCCTAGAGTCGGATTCGACTGGCTTTCGAGCAAAGGAACCTTTACCTGTTTATGGGAGACAGGCAACCCCCCTTTAGAGGTGAGGAAGATCTTGGGTCGGAGCACACCAAGCGAAATAGTTGTGAAAAGAATTGCAATGGAGCCTGGCGTACAGACAGTAGAACAGGGAATTTTTCATTACCGGACACTCCTGTTAGTCTCCAGAGAGTGATGTCCTACCAGATTGCAGAATTTATAGCCTCTCAGTGGAGCTCTTTTTTATTATTATTTTTTTTAGGTTTCAAGGTTTAATGTTTTATTCACGGTCTATGACCAGAACATTAATCACAAACAGTAAAATGCCTCATTGGGGCAATACAACATGGGTCGGAGCACACCAAGCAAAATAGTTGTGAAAAGAATTGCAATGGAGCCTGGCGTACAGACAGTAGAACAGGGAATTTTTCATTACCGGACACTCCTGTTAGTCTCCAGAGAGTGATGTCCTACCAGATTGCAGAATTTATAGCCTCTCAGTGGAGCTCTTTTTTATTTTTATTTTTTTTTAAGGTTTCAAGGTTTAATGTTTTATTCACGGTCTATGACCAGAACATTAATCACAAACAGTAAAATGCCTCACTGGGGCAATACAACAATAATAAAACCATTCACAATAGAATTTGAACGATACCTCATAATAAAATCATTCCGAATACAGTAGAATGCTACAAAGTCTATTAAGAAGTTTAAAATCTCAACAATCCACTACTTGAGCTATTACAGGTTTCCTATGCCTTTCAGCAAGCTACCCAAATCTAGCTACCTGGTAAGTAATGTGATACCTATCTGAAAGCAGAAGGCACAATCTCTGCCTGCTATTTAAAGGTAATGACATAGGCAGAGGAAGGGATTCATGAAATTTGTTATATACCTTGCAACCAAACAGGACATGACCTAGCGATTCTACACCTTCATTACAGCAAGGGCAAATCCTTTCTTCATAGGGAATCTTTTTATATTTTCCTTCAAGGACAGCTGAGGGAAGTGCTTCACAGCGCATTAGGGTGAATATGCTCCTATACTCTTGATTTAATAAGTGGGAAAGATAAGGCATAGGGGTTGCTCTCATAGTGGGTTCCTCTCCCTATTCTATTCAAATCATGATGCCTTGCAGTATCATTAACCCTCTGTTTGAGGTGAGGAAAGAAGAAAAGAGAACAGCAGTGGAGATCCGATGGCAAAAAAAGAACTGAGGGAGTAGAGCCTCTCCTCCTGTCATGTGATCGTTTGTTCATTCATTCATTCATTCATTCATTCATTCATTCATTCGATTTATACCCCGCCCTCCCTGCTGAGGCAGGCTTTGGGTGGGAAGGTGCAGGGGGGAGGAGCACTCCTAGTCGATTAGAAAGCTTGGAAATCTTTTCCACGGCAGGCCTGCATTCACGCAGTCCCCATTAGGGACTGCACAGAAGCCACAAAGATTAATTTAAAAATACATGAAAAAATGCAACATTCATTTCCTATCATTAGAGGATATATGAAGCAACAATGGTGACTATACCATGCCAGGTGAATCCAAATGCAGGAGCAACTGCCTAAGGTGCCAGAGGGCAGGAGACACCAGGGGCAGCAAAACTGGCCAGCCCTGCCACTTGGGCTGCTAAGTGGCTCAGGGCCCACCCACCAGGCCCTGGCCAAGTGGTGGGACACAAATTCCAAGAGTTATAAAAACACACGTCCTAATCTCTTCCTCACCCTCCCTTCCAATCCAGATCAAACATTTCCAAAAGATCGGGACCTACTATCCTAGTTATGCAAATTAAAGCAATTCTGCCAATACTGCATCATCTCTACTTATAACAGAATGTGGGTTTATCAACAACAGATCTAGGTTTTGCTGCCAACGAATCTGAGACTAGAATCAAAGACAAAAACTACTGCTCTTTAATATGGGACTTGGATAAAGAAAACTAAAAAAAGGGGAGGGCGGTGGAAGCAACAGGGAAAGTGCCCCCTCGCCACAGTCTGATGCCCCCCTCCCCCCTTCAGACCACTTTTGCCATTGAACTGACACACTTGCATCCAGCCAAACAACACATCCCTAGGATGGTAAAATGATCCCCATCTTCACATTACTTTGTTTCCAATATGATCTGCTAACATAAGGGATTTGTCACAGAAATAGACGGGTAGCCATGTTGGTCTGAAGCAGCAGAACAAAATTTGAGTCCAGTGGCACCTTTAAAACCAACAAAGTTTTATTCAAAGTATAAGTTTTCGTGTGCACCCACACTTTGTATCTGACGAACTGTGTGTGCACAAAAAAACTTATATCTTGAATAAAACTTTGTTGGTCTTAAAGGTGCCACTGGAGTCAAACTTTGTTTTGTCATAGAAGAAGAAGAGAAGAAGAGATTGGATTTATACCCCGTCCTTCACTACCTGAAGGAGTCTCAGAGCGGCTTACAAACTCTTTTCCCTTTCCCCCTCCCCACAACAGACACCCTGTGAGGTGGGTGGGGCTGAGAGAGCTCTTGACAGAAACTGCTCTTTTTCAAGAACAGCTCTGACAGAACAGCTTTCCCAAGGTCATCAAGCAGGTGCAAGTGGAGGAGTGGGGAATCAAACCCGGTTCTCCCAGATTAGAGTCCGCGCACTTAACCACTACACCAAACTGTCTAGAAATGTTGCACATTTAGCGTTTATACTTCGATGCATCATGGAAGATCTTAGAACATTTGCCTAAGCCTGTAATATCTTTTACTCCAAAAAGCAGCCATTAGTCATTTCCATTCTGCCCCCGCCCCCCTATTTTTAACCAGTGAAGCACACATATGAAGCTGCCTTATACTGAATTATATTATTACTAGGGAGCAAGGCCCGTTGCGCAGGGGGATACAACGGGCAGCTAGCCCCCCCCGTCGCCTCCTCCCCCTCTGCCCCCCGCACGGCGCTCACCTCCGGCGCCTCTCCGCTCGGGCCCACCCAGC